GCAGGGAGCCCGATGCGGGGCTCGATCCCAGGACCCTGGGGTCATGACCTGAGCCGAAGGCAGACGCTTAACGACTGAGCCACCCAGGTGCCCCAATGTTGACATTTTTATACTGAAGCCACTGCATCGTCATTTCTTCACAGCCAACCAAATGATCTCAAGATTTTTGAATTATCCTTTTATTTTGTAGAAACAGAACATCTACTTCCTAGTCCATTTGAGTTGAATTCAAATGCAATGGAATTATTCTTTTAAAATGAATTTGAATTGAACTTTAAGCTCAATAAGCTGAAAGCAGGTTAATGACTTCATTTGGTTTTCCTTAGCACCGTGGTCACTTTCTCACCATACCCTGCTTTAGCAGAAGACATTATAAAAGGCTGCAGGCAGTCTTCGGATCATTACTGTAGTGAGTGCAAATGATGGACAGTCTCAGCTGATTTGATGGAAAATGATTCTCATCGAGTACTTATTTGGCTCTGCAAAACATTGTGCTTGCCTAGTAAATGGCTCAATATGCGTAAATGGGGAAGGTAATTATGAAATACCCACCTGAAAATACAGATTCTCATTTAAAAAGCATTAAAAAACAATTCACAGTTCAAGAAAGTGTTTTTTCCCCCATATATAGTAGTATATATCATGAGTAGCTTTAATACATCCACATTTTGAACCAAAATAATTATGGCATGTTTCTGATGGAGCACTTACAATTGTTAGTTTGAACACCAAGAAAGACTCCTCAAAACAGGGTTAGCTGGTTGGATTCTTTAAGGAAATCTCCTGCCATTTAGCCTTAATGGTAGCCTTTTAAACATTAAAAGCAATTAGTAATATCGTTGATTATAGAACTAATGTTCTTCTTTTGATTGCTTGCGTGTTCTTATCATTTGCAAGTTAACAAGCTAATTTCTAATCCTAACCCTACTTCTTTCATGAAATCCAAATTAACAGCCTAAAGTCATTTATTTGTCTACCAAGGAATTCTTAATGAACTACCTTTAATGATGGAACACACACACACAATGAAAGCTTTCTCAGAAACATCAGCAACCTCCTTGTTACCAAAAAAAAAAAAAAAGGTTAGCAGAGGGAGAAACTGCTGTCTACATCTTAAAGGGTTGCTTTTTTACTAATTAAAAAACAAAAACAGAAGACTTCAGGATCATTTAAGTTATCCATTCTTACTTATCTATTTATTTCAACATCAATTTATTAAATGCTGTAGAACAAGGCAAAAGGGCCCTCAGCGACCACTGAGCTAAATGCAAATAGGCTCATTAAGTGACCGCCTTGAAATAGCCATAGGCCCTAACTGACCAATTATAACCAGGCACAGTTCCTAAGCTTACCAAAAAAGGGAAAATTCCATACGTTCCCTGCCTCCTCACTCTGCCCTGTAACTGGCCCCTCACCACTGCCTCCTAGCAGAGTCTCTCCTTTGCTGTCCTGTCCACCACTCCCTTGCAGTGTATTCAGTAAACTTTTATCTCTTTTGTTCTGCCTAGGGTGAATTCTTTCACCACCCATGCTGCCGGCCTCCTCCCAATTGGAGCAGCCCACATTTGGTGGCCTGCACATCTGATCAGGACACCCCACAAATGCCAGGCCTTGTTTGAGTTGAGCAGTGAATCCCTGCTTTCATGGGTCTTCCTTGCTAGTGGATGACAGACAGTAAACCAACTATAAAGAGAAGTAAAGGGGCGCCTGGGTGGCTCAGTTGGTTAAGCGACTGCCTTCGGCTCAGGTCATGATCCTGGAGTCCCCAGATCGAGTCCCGCATCGG